GAGCACTTTTAAGTTCATGGCAAAATTGAAAGGAAGTCTTAAAGATTTCCCACATACCCCCGCCTTTCCCCGTGCTCCCCCACTATCACCATCCCCCACTAGAGTGGTTCCTTGGTTACAGTTATTGAACCTAAATTGGCACATCTCTAGCACCCTAAGTCGTAGTTTCCATTAGGGCTGACTCTTTGACTTTTTATTTTTAACGGACCTTTCTCTTAAAAAAGTAGAACTTACAGTAAATAGAATGAGGGCTCTATAAAGAGCCCTCATTTTTCAAGAGTTATAAGAGATAACTCTTTTGAAAAAGTTTTTATTAGGAAAATCTAAAGTGTCTAAACATGTGACATTCCTATGAGCATGTGGCATTTAGTTCCAGGTTTTATAATGTATATGTGATCAAATGAATATGATGGGGCCCCAGAGAGCCACATGGGGAAAGTTGGAAAGGTTCCAGGAGCCCGACTATTTAACAGAAAGGAGATGCTTAGAGTGGATTTCACATCAAGTCTACTTTATAGTAGATATTTTACTCCCTGTTCTAATGACAAAGCAGAGGTATTCCTATTGGGCATAAAATATAGCAGGGAGCTGAGTTACATTTGAGGTAGAGCTCTGTGCCTGTGTGGATGGGTAAAAGATGGAATTTTAACATATGTGCTATGGCTTTTTTGAGAACTTAAAAGTAGTGGATAAATTCACAGAGTAATAAAAATATTGAAATGAAAAGGACTAAGAGATCTTTTTCTCTAATCCTATTATTATAGATTAGTGTCAAGCAAATTGTTTACCTGGGATAATTTAGGTGTAGCCATTCCTAAAGGTAAGAGATGTCTTAAATGAGTGCCTGAAAGTTCTTTCCAGAAGCACAGCTCTGTGGCTATGCAAGTCCTGGGTGAAAATGTCATGAACTTTTAATGTAGGTAAATGATGTGTGTGTTAGAGGTGAAAAAAATGTGTTTCTAACTCTGAGGGAGTTTAGTGTCAAAATGTGCTGATATTTTTAACATAAGCTAGATTAGTATGTTAAAATAAGCACCAATGGCTGTGGGAATTCAGACAGAACAGACTACCTGTGATACTAAGGATCAGAGAAGTCCGTAGAAAGAGGCCGCATCATTTAAATTCAGCAGTGATTAGGTGCGAGCATGTTTACTACCTGCACTAAGGATTGCCTTCTTTTTCACTTTTGATTATGAAAACTTTTAGGTATATACAAAACCTAAAAGAACAGTAGAGTGAATGTCTGTATACTCACAGTTAGATTCAACAACTGTTAACATTTTGTGTATTTGTTTTAACTTTGAATTTATAGATGTGCTTATGTGTGTATGGTGTATGTGTTGGTTTTCCTTTTCTTTTCTTTTTCTTTTTTTTTTTTTGAGGTGGATTTTTTGCTCTGTTGCTCAGGCTGGAATGCAATAGTGCCATCTCAGCTCACTGCAACCTCCGCCTCCTGGGTTCAAGCGATTCTCCTGCCTCAGCCTCCCGAGTAGCTGGGATCACAGGCACACACCACCATGACTGGCTAATTTTTGTATTTTTGGTAGAGACGGGGTTTCATCATGTTGGCCAGGCTGGTCTCAAGCTCTTGATCTCAGGTGATCCACCTGTGTTGGCCTCCCAAAGTGCTAGGATTACAGGCGTGAGCCACCGCACCCAGCTGTGTGTTGGTTTTTCAAAAAAACATTGGAAAGTAAGTTACAGGCATCATGACTTTTTTAATAAACCCTGATATATCCACTGGCATCTCTTAACACAATTCTGTCTATTCTCCTATATAATCACAATTCTATCAAAATCTGAAGAAAATTAATAAAAATACATTAATGTCATCTAATTTCTATTTTCTATTTCAAACTTTCCTAATTATCTGTATTTTTTACAGGTATTTTTTTTTCCACACCTGGATTTAATCAGGGTTCACACACTACATTTCGTTTTCATAATTCCTAAATCTCTTTTACTCTGAAGCAGCCTGTACTACCTCCCCCTCCCCATGCTCAATTTTTGTTTCATGACATTGACTTTTAAAAGGATCAGACCAGTTTTCTTATAACATTTTGTTGATACCATATCTTGCAAGTATTTTTGTCAACTGGAGATTTTAAAAGTCTTTTAGAAATCAAAATATGTATTTTCTAGGAGATATATTACCAGATTATCTGCTAGCCATGAATATAAGGCCATTGCTCCTGATACACCATTTTCAGTAGATAATGTACTTTAAAATAATCTTTATTTACAAAAATAATGTAAGACAGCTGTAAGATGCTAGAACAATACAAGGTTAGAAATAGAAATATACAAGGTTAGAAATAGAAATATACAAGTTTAGAATTCTATTTAATATCAAGTAGCTCTGAGATAATAATTTTGCCGAGCTTACATTCTTTCCTTTTTCTGTGTTTTTGTTTATCATAAAAATTGCAGTCATCTATACATGTTGTTTAAAGTTTGCTTTTTATTTCACTAGTTATGCATTGCGAATGATGTCCCATAGAATATGTAGTAGAGGTTGTTTTTGCTGGGAGCAGTGTGTACCAAGCCAGCCACATTCTTTCCTAGGTGTTTACAGTGAGACACACACCCAAATGTAAAGTGCCTGGCTCAGGATTAGAAATGTGGCTTGTGCCCACAGAGCAAATATTTTTCTCTGTTTGAGGCTCTCTGGTTAATGCAGGAATTGAATATTGGCCTCTTCTGTTCTGTGCTTTAATAAGTTGAGGGAAATTCATGAGTAGTAAACACCTAAGGGCTATATATTTGAATTTGGCTCCCCCCGCTGTTTTTCTTGGGGTTGGGGGTGGGTGGGTCATTTCATATTCTTTTCTGTACTTATCAAGAGATCAGACTGGCTTACCTTAGAGGTAAACATGATACTCTGCCAACATAAAATGATTTAGAAATGTTAATATATTTTACCAAGCCAGAGTTTCTAGCATATGTATTTTAAGCCATCATAAAACATATACCTGTCATGTTAAGGAATGTGCCCACGGCAAGTATCAAAGACCTGCAGTGGGAGGCTGGGGAGTGTGTTTTGCTGTGTTGCAGGGTTATACCCTGACAACCTCTGTGAGGCATGAGGACCGGCAGGGAGTGGTTTGTAAATATTGAAGCCATTTTATTTATTAATTTAAGAATTCCTACAAGTAGTAGCTATTCCTATTTGTACATCCAAGTGTCTTCGGGCTCAGGGGGTAATTCTGCGTCGGCAGATGGATGAAGAGTATAAATCCTGCCTGAATCTAGTTAACAAAACAATCAGATGAGCAAGAGATAGTCCGTTGGGCTTAATGGAGAACAGAACATTTGGACAGAAAAGCTTTCTGGACATTTCTGGCTTCTTTGAAAGACAAGTGTGATGAGCCTCCCAGCAAGATTGCTGGCTCAGGGTGGAGCAATAAGGCCACTTTTGTTGTTATTTTATTCTCGTGTTATCCATGGCAATAATGTCATCATTTTCATTTGGTGGGACATCAGGGTGTCAATAAGGCTTGTTACTATAATAGTAAGTTAAATTATCTGTGATTTGGTTACAGGATTTTGCATCAAGATTTTGTAAAGGGACAAGATGATAATGGGTGGTTCCCCACATCTGTCTAAATATTTGTTGAAAAAAGGACAGAGTTGTGATTTTTAAGTGCTTTGAAGAATTCATCTCTTTCCATTAAAAAAAAAATGGAAGTAGCTGGCCAGGTGTGTTGGCTCACACTTGTAACCCCAGTACTTTGGGAGACCAAGGCGGGTGGATCACATGAGTTCAGGAGTTCAAGACCAGCCTGGCCAACATGGTGAAACCCCATCTCTACTAAAAATAATAATAATAAAAATAGGTGTGGTGGCGGGTGCCTGTAATCCCAGCTACTTGGGAAGCTGAGGCAGGAGAATCTCTTGATCCTGGGAGGCGGAGGTTGCACTGAGCCAAGATTGCACCACTGCACTCCAGCTTGGGCAACAAGGTGAGACTCTGTCTCAAAAAAAAGAAAAAAAAAAAAAGGAAGTAGCTGATTATATTAAATGCATATTCCCACCACTTTATCATTCATTCTAAGTAAATAATAAAGTGTTTACATCAGACATGAAAATAAAAGTAAATAATGTTAATAAAAGTAAAGAGGCAGTGTTGCAAAGAGTGAGGAGGAACAAGATCAAATTTTAAATTCAGTGAGGCACTTAAGTCATTAAACTTTACTTCTTTCATCTGTAAAATAGACACCATAGGGTTGTTCATGAAGTTGGAATGAGACAATATATTTGGAAATTTAAAAAGCAAAACACTAGTGTTCAAGTTCCACTCCTAGTGGGCTTTTTAATTTGTATTTTATTTTATTTTATTTTTTATTTGAGACGGAATCTTACTCTGTTGCCCGAGCTGGAGTGCAGTGGCATGATCATGGATCACTGCAGCCTTGGCCTCCCAGGCTCAAGAGAGCCTCCCATCTCAGCCTCCCAAGTAGCTGGGACTACAGGCACATGCCATCATGCCTGGCTAATTTTTTTTTTTTTTTTTTTTTTTTGTAGAGACAGGGTCTCATTGTGTTGTCCAGGCTGGTCTTGGACTCCAGGGCTTAAGTAACCCTTCGGCCTCAACCTCCCAAAATGCTGGGATTACAGGCGTGAGTCACCACGCCCAGCCTCCTAGCACTTTCTTGAGTGGACCGTATTACATAGTGAAAAAAGCATGTGAACTGAAGTTATGTAGACATTGGTTTAAATTCTGGCTTTGCCATTTACACTGTGCACCTGTGAATGAATTCTTTAATCTCTTTGAACCTTCGTTTCTTCAACTGTAAAGTAGCTTTTATCCTATCACCCTTGTAAGATAAGGCATAGGGCATGGGCTCTGCCAAGACACTTAGGAGTTCCAGAACTTGCAGCTTATCAAATCTGGATGGTGATCTGTTGGCAGGGGGTGTGCGCTTCTGTGTGTGTGGAATATGGTACCATTGACAGGTCCCTTCTGGAGTATGACCGTGGTGTTTCTTTTGCATTTACAGCTATCTTCCAGAGGGCCACACTGGGCATGGACACCCTTTTCCCTACCTGGAGGAGCACAGGTGATAGTGTAATTTTCCAGTCACGAAACTGTTAAGGCCGTCTCAGGGGCGTGTGCGCCAGGATAGGAGGGCGGCGTCCGAGGACCACATAGCCATGCCTTTTGGTCTGAAGCTCCGCCGGACACGGCGCTACAACGTCCTGAGCAAGAACTGCTTTGTTACACGGATTCGCCTGCTGGACAGCAATGTTATCGAGTGCACGCTGTCGGTGGAAAGCACAGGGCAAGAATGCCTGGAGGCTGTGGCCCAGAGGCTGGAGCTGCGAGAGGTAAGGGGGGGGGGGGGTGTCTGTGTGCGCATGCGCGCATGCATGCGTGTTGGGTATGTGAAGGAGAACTCACCAAAGGGACCAGCCATCTGTTTCTTGGCATCTGTCATGTTTTTTGGCCTAAGCGACAATGTGTTTATAAGAATCCTGTTATTCTTAGCATGGCTGTGATCTTATCCGTCATTGGATGGGGAGATTCGTGCTGATGTGAACCACGCCTAGAGCTGCATGGCGTGGCAGGTTTCCTTTTATTTCAGCTGGGGAAGAGGTTTTGGGGGAGTTGAAAATGAGAGACTCTCCCTACCAAAGTCATTTTCTCTCTTTAAAACAACTGAGTGGGTAGCTGGTATTTTGGCATTCTGGCTGCACATTAAGGAGAAAAACGCCCACATACGGATGCATGCAGCTGCCTTTTTTTTTTTTTTTTTTAGTTGTTTCTGTATTTTCCTCTAAAAAAAAAAAAAACCCCCACCAAATAAAGAGAAAAAGCATTTAGAGTGAGCATGACCAGTGAGGCTTTTTGTGGGAGCCTGTAAAACAGAGGTTTTGTTCCTTTTAAGATTCCTCACAGCCCTCGTTACCTTCATGCTGTCTGTGAAATGACTTTTAAGCAAAAGCAGGGCTGACCACTAAGAAAGTCATGCTATCATTCTTTAGAAGGGACTTTCAGAGCAGTTGTTTATGACAGCCAAGCCCTTCTTTTTTCAGTCTTGCAGACATTCAGGACAAGAGACTTTTGTGAGCAATCCACACTTCAGCATCTGTGTCTTGAGAGCTGTCTGACTTGTTGATCAGTGGGGAAGGTGGTCTGGTTGAGTGGCTGCCAGTACTGAATGACTGCAAGCTCCTGAGACTCAGACCTTCCTGAGGGCAAGGGAAAGCTGTATGTCATTGTCCTAGGTCCCTGGGCTCTTGGAGAGTCCAAGTGACAGCATTGCCCAGGACCTCGATGACAGAAGAGGGGTGGCAATCACTGTTGGAAGTGATCGCATGTGACCTCTCTCCACCTGCTTACAAAGGAGTTGGGGCCCAGGAGGATCTTCCTCTCCCCTTTCCTGCTCTGAAAGTCCCTTCTAAAGGCATCTTCCACAGGCTAGCTGTTTTTCTCTGAGAAACTTTCACCTGCAATGCATCTGTCTCCTGCTGTTCTTTGTGTTTATACTTTGGTTTCAGTGATCAGGTATTCCTTTTAGGTATATTTTTCTGTGCAGGAGACTGTCTTGGACAATGGAGGTATGTATTAGTAGCTTGGTAACTGCCACAATAGAATAAATGTGTGAAATGTTCTCATCTTGTTGATTGGTAGCTGGCTGTCTTTTTCTCGTTGGTAACACATTAGGGTACACACATTTAAACACACATTTGCATATGTGCATGGGCATAAAGGAAAAACTTAAATGCTGGTTGGGGAAGAGACTTGTCTAAGTTCTTATAGAAAATTAGTATTTTTACTTTTAAGTACTTTCAGTCACTCAAATTAGAGCAACTAATTATTCCTCACATGCGTCGGGGGACAGTGTAGCATGGGTTAAGTAGTTACAAGTATAGGCATTGGAATTTGGTCTTGGGTTCAGCTTACTCTTCTGTCATTTATTAGCTGGGTGACAATGGAAAAGTTACCGAATCTTTCAAGGCATAAGTTTCCTACCTATAAAATGGGAATAATAATGCTGACTTCATAGGGCTGTTGCAAATATTAAAAGAGTTCCTGTATGGAAAATATATAGTGCTGCGTTTAATAATGTATAATTGTTCAAATTTGAGAGTCTTAATAAACAACTTTAAAAAAACCCATTTTTTGTTAAAGAAAATATTGAACATCTTGTGCCAGACACTTTTTTAGAACTTGGTGAAATGAAGATAAATAAGGTACAATTTTACCTTCAAGACATGCACACAACAGTAGGGGAGTCCAGCCTTTAAATAAACAGTGAATATTGAATGTGGTCCGAGCTAAAATAGAATGCAGGGGTAGGCCCAAAAGGCGATGGCTGTCCTTAGTGTTGTGCAGTGTGCAGTCCAGCCCACTGAACACTGCAGTCTTGCTGGTGAGAGAGAAAGAGTTGATGGAAGATGAACAAAGCCTTCACTCTGAACCAAGACTTGAAGGATATGTTTGAATCCAGCAGGTAGAAAAGAAGGCCATATCGTCTTTAGTGTGGGGAACTGGATTATCAAAGATTCAAGGATGTGAAAGAGCAGCCAACATTTTGGGGGCTGAGAAGGCATCGCTCCAAATCACCAGGTCAAGCTAGAGTTTATAACGAATGGTGTGTGGAGATGTGTATGGTAATAATGGCTTTCAACAGACTATTGTTTTTCTCAGTGAGAAGGCAAAAGTCAACCCTGGGTCATCCCACAACTACCTTATCGCAAAGAATAAAGCAGTGCAGTGCCAAGTGTGTGTATAGTGTGATTGACATTCCGTTGCTGAGGTGGGGTTTGCGTTTAATACCGACTTTATTTTGACATGCCCTAATGGGTGCATCCGCATTCGACCAAATCACTTTCTTTTTGAATTTTGTGCTTTCCTTCCATGACAGACAACATTGAAGTTGTGCCCTTTTGTGAATCAATCCTCTAGATACTCCTGAATTAAAGGATCAGATAGAGTAATCTGATACTTTTCTTCCTTTGCACAAACACATCTTAAAGAAGAATGCATCCTCCACCCAAAAGCAGAAGTAAGAGGAGGTGAACACAGGGTCTGATCCTCATACCTTGAATTTGTATTTGGGTCATTTTTCAGAGAGAGCCAATGCTGCTTTAGAGGAGAAGGTGACAACCAATCTAAGATATGAGAAAAAGTTTAGTCTTTTTTTTGGGAGGGGTGTTGGGGCCTAACTCTATTGCACAAGATGGAGTGCAGTGGCATGATCATGGCTCATTCAGCCTCCACCTCCTGGCTCAAGTGATCTTCCTGCCTTGGTCTCCCAAAGTGCTAGGATTACAGGTGTGAGCCACACACCCAGCCAAAATATATTTAATTTTTTTTTTTTTTCAATTGAGATAGGGTCTTGCTCTATTGCCCAGACTGGAGTGCAGTGGTATGATCATGACTCACTACAGCTTCAACCTCATGGGCTCAAGTGATCCTCCCACCTCAGCCTCCCAAGTGGCTGAGACTACAGGCACATGCCACCATGCCCAGCAAATTTTTAATTTTTTTTGTACGGATGGGATCTCACTCTATTGCCCAGGCTGGTCTCAAACTCCTGGGCTCAAACGATCCTCCTGCCTCAGCCTCCCAAAGTGCTGGGATTATGGATGTGAGACACTGTGTCTAGGTCAATATGTTTAGCCTTTATGAAGACTTAGAAACTAGATTATGGTGGATATTTGGCTTTGCCATTAGAAGTAGTTTAGGTATATCATAAATTTTGTAATAGCTTTATATTAGGAAAGGATGTATGGTAGATTAAAATTTTTTTGATTAAATTTTTTATTTACATTAATTGTTTTGCCACTATATTTTATTAGATAATTTTTAATAGACTTTATTTTTAGTTTTAGGACTTTGATTTCTTAGAGCACTTTTAGATTCACAGTAAAATTGAGAGGAAGGTACAGAGAATTTCCATATACCCCTGGCCCCATGCATGTACATCCTCCTCCACTATCAACATCACTCCCAGAGTGGCACATTTGTGATGATTATTGAACCTACATTGACACATCATTATCACCCAGAGTCCAGAGTTTACATTAGGGCTTATTTTTGGTGTTGTACATTCTATAGATTTGGACAAATGTGATATGCTCCTATTTAACATGGCATTCAGAAGGACCCAAGCCTGGTTCCTATTGTCAGCAAACAGTCATGTCTGGGAAAGCTGAATGTGATAGGGTCCCTGCTCCCAGAAACCAGATAGAGTCTTTGCTCCTAGAGTTTAGAGAACAGGACAAACAAGAAACAAGGCAAAGGGAACGGCTTGTGCTGAGGTACAGAAACAGGAAAGAACATGGAATTTTCAGGGAAAGGCGAAATTCAGTTTGCACTGATGTGTGTGTGTGTGTGTGTTGGAATTTTCAGGGAAAGGCAGAGTTCAGTTTGCACTGATCTCTGTCTCTGTGTGTGTGTGTGTGTGTGTTGGAATTTTCTGGGAAAGGCATAGTTCAGCTTGCACTGATCTGTGTGTGTGTGTGGCGAGGGGAGGGTATTTTCAGGGAAAGGCAGAGTTCAGTTTGTTTGCACTGGTGTGTGTGTTGTGTGTGTGTTTTGTGTGTATGTGTGGGTGTGTGAAAGGGGTCATGGAAAGGAAGAGGGTAGAGGAGGAAGGGGCAGGACGGAGTCTGCTTTTGCAGTGTTTGCTGTGTTTGCCTAGGGAGTTTTAACTAGATCTATAGGATAGTATTTCTAAAATAAGTTACAAAGGGTAATTACCACCTTTTGATTGTAGGTACTCTGCTGAGCAGTTTCCATGTATCAGCTCGTGTAGTCCTCATAATGAGTCTGTGATGCATCCCTACCCTTGCTGTTCCTATCTTACAGATGGGGAGGCTACAGCATAGGGTGACCTGCCCACAGTCACTGGGCTGGCAATTTGTGAGGCCGGTTCAAACCCTGGCAGGCTGACACCACCGTTCCGGTTCCCAGAGACGTGTAGTAGGGGAACAGGGAGCATGGTAAAATGCTTTGGGAAACATTCTCTCCTCAATTCTATAGTAAAAGAAAGAAAATGGTGGTCCAGTAAGTGTTTCACGGTTGTCTTAGCCTTCCAGAAAATGCTCTTTTGAACTATGTGGGGAATAAAACACTGCTGTGAAGTATAAGTCATCAGAGGACTCCAAGGAGGAGCATGACATGGTTACCTTGCATGTTAGGTAAAGAACTCATTAGTAGGAAAGAGTGGGGATCGGCCAGACGCAGTGGCTCACTCCTGTAATCCCAGCACTTTGGGAGGCGGAGGCAGGTGGATCACAAGGTCAGGAGATCGAGACCATCCTGGCCAACATGGTGAAACCCTGTCCCTCCTAAAATACAAAACTTAGCTGGGCGT